TTTGATGAAAACTCCATCTCCAAACGAGTTAATGCTGTACTTGCTTTGACAGCCAAGGAACACATGTCCTGGAAGGAGATTGGTACCTGAGATTTTGATAAAGGCATGAGGAAATAAATCTGACCCTGCTGAAGTTCATCATCTCCGGCCACATGAGGTAGGAGAGAGTCTACATGCATTTGCTCTGAGTTACAGAGGAAGCAGTTGGGATTGAGAGAGAGGATGGAACTGGCTTTGATGGTATGAGGGAATTCTAGAAGGCTTCCATCTGAATGTATTATCTTGGCCGTGGATGTTAGCCAGTTCAGGCTGCCATCCCTTGCCCTGAATTGAGAAGATGCACAAATGCCCATTTTGTATGTGTTTTTTGAGGGAGAGGGATGGTTTTAGACTTTGAACTGGAAAGCAGGTTATATAGAAAATGAAGGATTGAAACCTACACCTCTGTCATTGCACGTTTACTAACAGGATCAACCAGATAATGAAGGATTAAAACCTAAAAATCTCTACTAAAGTCTCTGTTCTCATAGATTTTTTTGTCATTTTCATTGACTTCCTACTTTGGTCCTGTTTGTGACAAATAAAGAAATCTCGTTAAATTGGCAATTCGGGAACCTGTCAAAAACAGGGGGAATTAGTGCAAATTTAAGTAAATGGGAATTAAGAAAAGGGGAACATGGAGTCAAAACCACTCGGCTTGAGCGCGAGGACCGTCAAAAGCAGGAAGTATCGAGGATGATACAGGAAAACAAATAATACAAGGAAGCTTAGTTCGGAAGGAATAGGGACGAAACTCGGTCTTCTCCATTTCTACCTATTACCGAGACACACGGTCTTCTCCATTTCTAGTGCCTACTTTTCCAGTTTTGTGATCCAAAATGAATGTTTGCAGATGTCTCTCTCTTCCTGTCATATTCTGATTTCACAGGAAGAACGGACCCATTGCCTACACCATAGCTTTTCTTTCTTTTTGCCTTTTTTCTATTTTGAAATTTCTAAAGTTTCAAAACATATATGTGTCTTACATTACACCAAAATTTCATTAGCATTTTCTTGCTTTTTCTAAGTTTTCTTGCTTTTTTTAAGTTTTAATGGATCTATAAAACGAATGGGAAGGAATTAGGGGAAATAAAAATTCAAAAAATAAAAATAAAAGAACACTTAGTTTGATATATATTTTTTATATTAATTTAATGTAATTATTAAAATATAATATAAATATAATTGATTTAAT